AGGATCCCCCAGTCGTTGTGCACGGTGTGGCTCACTTCGGACGGTTTCTCCTCGCTCCTTCTCCAATTCGTCCCGCGCAGACCGCCCAAGATGCAGACCGCCCAAGATGCAGATCGGCCAAGATGAGCTCGCAGCTCGTCGATCGAATACGCTGCCTGGCTCGGAGAACGAATCTTGTTCGGCGCTTCTTCGCATTCGCCTTCTGTCGGCAAGTCGTTGTGCACGGTGTGGCTCACTTCGGACGGTTTCTCCTCGCTCCTTCTCCAATTCGTCCCGCGCAGACCGCCCAAGATGCAGACCGCCCAAGATGAGCTCGCAGCTCGTCGATCGAATACGCTGCCTGGCTCGGAGAACGAATCTTGTTCGGCGCTTGTTCGCATTCGCCTTCTGTCGGCAAGTCGTTGTGCACGGTGTGGCTCACTTCGGACAGTTTCTCCTCGCTCCTTCTCCAATTCGTCCCGCGCAGACCGCCCAAGATGCAGACCGCCCAAGATGCAGATCGGCCAAGATGAGCTCGCAGCTCGTCGATCGAATACGCTGCCTGGCTCGGAGAACGAATCTTGTTCGGCGCTTCTTCGCATTCGCCTTCTGTCGGCAAGTCGTTGTGCACGGTGTGGCTCACTTCGGACAGTTTCTCCTCGCTCCTTCTCCAATTCGTCCCGCGCAGACCGCCCAAGATGCAGACCGCCCAAGATGAGCTCGCAGCTCGTCGATCGAATACGCTGCCTGTCTCGGAGAACGAATCTTGTTCGGCGCTTGTTCGCATTCGCCTTCTGTCGGCAAGTCGTTGTGCACGGTGTGGCTCACTTCGGACAGTTTCTCCTCGCTCCTTCTCCAATTCGTCCCGCGCAGACCGCCCAAGATGCAGACCGCCCAAGATGCAGATCGGCCAAGATGAGCTCGCAGCTCGTCGATCGAATACGCTGCCTGGCTCGGAGAACGAATCTTGTTCGGCGCTTGTTCGCATTCGCCTTCTGTCGGCAAGTCGTTGTGCACGGTGTGGCTCACTTCGGACAGTTTCTCCTCGCTCCTTCTCCAATTCGTCCCGCGCAGACCGCCCAAGATGCAGACCGCCCAAGATGAGCTCGCAGCTCGTCGATCGAATACGCTGCCTGTCTCGGAGAACGAATCTTGTTCGGCGCTTGTTCGCATTCGCCTTCTGTCGGCAAGTCGTTGTGCACGGTGTGGCTCACTTCGGACAGTTTCTCCTCGCTCCTTCTCCAATTCGTCCCGCGCAGACCGCCCAAGATGCAGACCGCCCAAGATGCAGATCGGCCAAGATGAGCTCGCAGCTCGTCGATCGAATACGCTGCTTGGCTCGGAGAACGAATCTTGTTCGGCGCTTGTTCGCATTCGCCTTCTGTCGGCAAGTCGTTGTG